CGGGGAAACAACATTTCCATGTGAAGAATGTACAGCAGAGGTATGTGGAGTAGTCTGAGAGCTTGGAGGAGGTAGTGGGGTGGGCAGGTGGCCTCATGGAGGACCTGTCTTACGATCTGGGTCTTAGAGGTTGAGCGGACACCGGGCAGGCAGGGGTGGCACACTCCCGTTAGAACCTGCCGATTTATCCATCAGAGAGAGCAGTCACTGTTCCCAAAGTACTCTGATCAGGTGCAGCCAATGAAAATAATCTCCTTTGTCGTTCTGGACAACACCATGAAAACTCTGGAGGTCTCTGTTGCCTTCTTGTTGAATAGGAGGAGTCATGTCAACTACTTAGAAGCCCTGGGAGAATGAATCAATTTATGTGGTTTACAAGAGCAAGTGTTTACTTATTAGAAAGCCTCCAGGGGGAATACGTGCAGGAGAACAACCCGGCTCCAGCAAGAAGAAGCAAATGGGGCTGGACTCTCATTAGCCCGTGACGGATCGATCTTCTGTCACTGATTCCCCAAACCCCCAGCAGTTTCAACTGCAAGCTTGTTCAATATTTTAAAACCAATTTAAAACCAGTTTTTGAGTTTGCTTTAAAAAAATGTTGCATTAATCAAAAAATGCATTAAGATTAGGGTCAAGCAGCTTAACTTATGGGAAAATCCTGATTGGGCCCTGGGAGACATGGGCTTGCCTGGCTGGATAGTGTCAGAAGCCGCTCAGCTTTAGAGCGAGAACAGTGGAGAGTAGCCACGGACGGCTAAAAGGAAGAACCTTACAAATGAATTGAATTGAAAGGACGTTTGCAGAAGGCTAATGTGGGCATTTTGTTGTATCAGCAAAATTCAGACACGAGGATGCACCTGAAGCCTCCCTTCCAGGAAGGGAGGCTGCGAATAGATTTTTATTGTTAGGTGTGTGGAATGCCACCCTTTCAAAGATTTCAGTTAAGTGGGATTGCAGAGGTCATCCATTTGGAGATCACTGCCGTTTGGGAGAAATGTAGGGAACAGAAAATAAACTGGCTCTGTGAAAATAAAAACCCTTCATTCTCTTGCCAAACGGAATTGGCTCTTTCAGTTTTGATGAAATAGCTTGTTGGGTTCATCCTTCTCTGTGTCCAAGAGTAGCTCTTGTTGAAATGAGGAGACCGGAGACGTGGTAAACCAGTGCATAGAGGATATACTGGTTATTCTGTGTTCTTTTCTCTCCTCTGCTCTGTGTGTGGAGGCTGAATCCGATGGGCTGTGTCCCTTGGGTCCCTTATGGCTGGCTTTCAGTTGGGTGTGGCCAATGGGAGACGTTTGCAAGAGACCAGAGGGTGAGTGGGAGAAGTCAAGGTGTCGGTCCTCACTCCCCGCTGGCTTTGGGTCTACTTCTGGCAACACTGGACTTTCCACGATTACACCTCCTGTCAGAGCTCCTCCATGGTTCCAGCTCTTGAGGATGGTCCCCGTGCTACGCCATTTCCTCCTCTTGTCCCTTCAGGCCTGGCGCAGTCATGGTTCCCCCCACGCTGGACTCCAAGGCCCTTCACATCGATTTTGGTTCTTGTGACCCTTCCCCACCACTGTAGGTCATCCACGACCCCTCAGTTACAGTCTCTTCTGAGGAGGACCCTGAATGGATCAGAGACTTAGGAAAAAATGGCAGCAAAACCCCCAAATACTAGTTGCCTTCTGTTCTCAGACAATAGTGAACCAGCAGACTTTTCCAGTTTGGTGGGTCCATTCACTTTGTTTTCAAATAAGAGAACTGTGAGGCTGGTCCAGTTATCCGAGCTCTAGGCCGGAAGGAGGCTCATTTCAGAGAGGTCTTGTTGCAGGGCCGTCTCTTCCTGAATTCTGTCTTGGACAACCCTGTCTTGAATTAAAGATTCCTCCTCTGAATTCCTATCATATTGTTTGTGCAATTAGAAGCCTTGTGGCATCTAATAAAGTAACATAAACTCCATGAGAGCAGGGACTTAATCCCCAGAGCCTAGAAAAAAGCCTAACCCACTACAGGTGTTTAATACTATCGAATGAATGAAATAATGTCTTTTTCTTTATAGATGCCACTGTGGAAAGGGAATGTGGCCTGCCATTCCAGCAAAGAGCAAATGTTGCCCGAAATCAAGCCACTGGCCACTGCAGCTGCCCACACAGTAGACCTTGAGGGGAATTCAGGATGCAGAAAATCAGGGAACGTTCTGTGCCCTGGATACTGGCCCTAGGTAGTTAAGATGCATATCGAAGGAATAATTTCAGAGTCCAGACTCTTGTAGCTTCCCATACATAGAAAAGCACTAAAATCATTAACTTGAGAGGTCTGCTTTGTTTGATTAGCAGTAATCTTTTGATGTTTGACTACATGTTTTTTTGTTGTTGTTGTTTGTTTCTTTTCAGCACAAACTCCTGTATATCCTGGCTCCTCCATTACCTTCTCAGAACTGAGAGGCTGTCTCCCGGCTAGAGTCCTCAGTAAGGTCCTCAAATAAACTTAACTCACAACTTTTAGGTTGTGTGTTTTTCTTCAGTCGACACCACCATCACTTAACAAACATCCATTAAATGTCTGTGCACCAGATACTGTCTTGAGCCTGGGGATGTAGGGATGGACAGAACACAGGGCAGCTGAAGAGCATCTTGCCTCTGTACCTTTGTCCATCCAGTGCCCTCTGCTGGAATGTTCCCTGTCATCCCTACCCCACTGTTCTCTTGACAAACTCTGACCCACCCTCCATGACTTTCCTAGGGAAACACTGTACAAAGCTATATTCACTGAACTTTGTTTTAGCATATTACGGTCATTATCTATTTTCCTGTAAGTCTCCCCTGTGGCTCCCCTCTGAAGATAAATGTACTTATCTACATTTCTTCAGAGTCTAGCAGGATGTCTGGCCAGTAGAAATGCTCCATTTAACACCTGCTGATTGAAGGTGTGTGCAGACACAGGCCCCTTGATACTGGTCATCTGTACTCAAGGCCAGCTCTAACTTTCTTTCTCCCATATTTCTGAGTTTCTTTTCTTTTTTTAAATTTGGGCTACCTTAATCATTAGCACCAAGGTTGGTTAGTTCCTCCTGAAAGAAGAATGAAGGGGATTATTGAGTGGGTCGGGCGCTGGACAGCTTTAGGTTAAGCAACTCTCTTCTTCACCTTAATGCTACTGTGTTCAGGTAAATAGATGTTAGGGGGCCCCTTCTTGGAAGGCTTTGTCCAGGTCTATTGTCATATGAACATATGCGTGTAAACTGCTGGATCACACCCATCTCCCACAGTAGCAGCCTTTGTTCTGGTCTAACCCTTCTGGCCCTGAGGCAAGGGGTCTCAGGGTCATTATTATTCCTGACATCAGGACCCAGAGAGCTTGCATTTGAGTGCCCAGACCTACAATAAGTCAACAGGAAGAGCGTGTGCCATAGAAATGCAGTTCAGCCCTAAATCTCTCAATGCTCAGGGTCAGTATTTTAGGAGCAGCTGAGAAGACCTGAATTCACTCATTACGCTTCTTTAGTTATGCTAATACTGAGTAAATACGTCCACAGAATACCTTATAGTATAGGGATTCACTTCTTTACGCTCTCATTTTAGAGCATTCCGCGATACTTAAAATTCTCAACTGTGAAATTAAAATGTTCTGGAACTTCTCTGTCTATTTATGGGGTTCCTGTCAATAAAATGACTAAAGGATTTATCTGGGTAGATTTGGTGTTTATACCCTTGTTAACATCTTTATCAGGAGAAAAATAATGAGCAAATTCATCAACTGTGTTGAAGTTTTTACTCCTTTCCCCTAAGGTTTGGTTGATCATAATAAATAAATAGAAGAAAATATATCTGCATTTCCCTAAGCCTGATATAGCACTTCAGAGAGTAAGGCTCAGTAAACATGTTCTTTACCTAATCAAGACTGAAATACAGTTTAGCACAGTCCATGATGTTTTAAGCAGCTCTTTGCAGGAAACCACCCTTAGCAGGAAACCCCTTTTCTCGTCAGTTCAGCAAAGCTACATTGTAACTAACTTTTAAACCAGGTGCCCCCAAGCTCTGCTCATCTCTGGCCCTAGCACACCTATCAAATCTTCTGATCACACAATACCTTGCCTAACCTGTTGGTTCTTTCCATGGATCAAAGAAGCAGAAAGCAAGAATAAGTAACCGATGACCGATCTCTTCCCTAGCTTCCCTTTCAGTAATCTCTTGAACAAACTCTGTGAACAGACTGTGTGAACAAGATAGCATCCAAAGAAAGATCACAAGAAGTCAACAAGCCTGCATGCAGTGGGGGTGGGGTGGTGGTGGTGGTGGTGGTGACGACTCTAACCCCCCATCTCAATGATTAGCCGAGATTACTTCCCTTTTTCCCTTTAAAAACTTTCATGGCCAAGCAGACTCTTCAGAGATGGTTTTCTGGGGACACTGAGTCTACCATCTCCCCAGACGGCCGGCTTTCTGATTAAAAGCAATTTTCCTTTCTACCAACAACTGCCTCTTGGGTATTGATTTTCCAGCGGTGAGCAGCCGGACCTGAGTTCGGTAACAATATTGCTAAAAAAACAATGATATCCTTGCATCGTATAATACTGCAATACTCCTACCACTTTGTTCACGGAGATAGTTCTCACCAAAGAGTTTAAACAAAGGCGCTTTTGAAAAACAATAATGTGAGGCTAGTATTGATTTCCCTGATGGAGAGGGTGTTGAATGGTTTTCTCTCTTTTCTAAAGACTCCTCTGATCAGGCTAAGACACCTTACCCCTAATCCACTTACCTCTGGGGTAAAACTCTCATGGAAGTACCAACACACCACACACGGCCACTGGGAAGAGTCTCCAGCTTGCCCGGAGGAAGGAAGCGGCTCTGGAGGGACTGATGGCGGCGAGGCCAGAGCTCCATCACCATGGCTGTAGGCTACTAAGCTGGCCCTGATTTTTTCAGATTGGAACCTTCGATGGTCTCCAGGAAACAGCTCTCATCCCCATAGCCTGAGCCCTGCTTTGAGGAAGGAAGAGGGCACCCTACCTGAGTAACTGTTCCTGAGGCTTCAAACAGGGCACTGCATTCACCTTCATGGTACGGTTCCTTACAATCCCGGCAAAAGACGAACTGCAGGAGAACACATGCAGGTTAGAGAGGGGCTTGCTGGTTGCATTTGGTCACAACATGTTTTTCTTTTCCAAGCTCATTCTACCCCTGCCTCTGACTTGGGTGATGGTTTGTGCGCCCCAATTTTTTTTTTTTTGCGGTACACGGGCCTCTCACTGTTGTGGCCTCTCCCAACCGCGGAGCACAGGCTCCGGACGCGCAGGCTCAGCAGCCATGGCTCACAGGCCCAGCCGCTCCACAGCATGCGGGATCCTCCCGGACCGGGGCACGAACCCGTGTCCCCTGCATTGGCAGGTGGATTCTTAACCACTGTGTCATCAGGGAAGCCCCCAAGACATTTTTTGCCTTCACGTTGTCTCCACCATGGAAACAACTTGCCCTCTGTCCCCATGGTCAATTTCTTGTTTTAACAACTCATCTGAAGATCATTTTAATCTCAGGACATAACAAGCAAGAAAGACAAGTATTTTATAAGGAAAAGGCCTCTTCTAAAGCTATGTCACCATCTCTCTTCTCGCCAGCACTTTCAGAGTGTTATAGCTTATTTCTTCTCACAGCAAAGAGAATGAGCCCACGTTTCGTGGGATATAAACTTTCCTTAAAGGTTCACATTGGTGGGAGAGGGGGTATGTGTCAGAATGTCATTACACAAATCACCAAGACCACCAGGTTTTAATTTCTGACATTTTAATTTTCCCTGAACTGACAGCTAATCCAGTGAACAGTGAATGAAATGGATCCTAGAGTCCTTTCTTAAGGCTTTTTTTTTTTTTTTTAATGTATCCGCTCATCTTTGGGTTTGTCTCAGACCCATCACTCTGTCCTTATGTTGAAAAACTGTGAACTGAATGGTTCAATCATTGAGAAGAGCTCACTGTGTGATTTCACCCCACTGCTTTTCATGGAAGCAAGTCTGATCTCTTGGTGTGACAGGGAAAATGTTTCACATCTTATTAGCTCGGGGATGAGATATAAAATCAGTTTCATGGTAGAGGAACACTCTGGAGGTTGATCAGTTTGTCAGAATAAATAGGACTTTCCTGACACAAAGACATTAAATTCCCTTTCATACCAGTACTACAAAGAATAGACCATATATATATATATATATATATATATATACATATATATATATATGTATGTATATAAATAAAAAAAAACAGAAAAGAAAGAGCCTATAAAAATTAAACCCTCACCACTTCAGTATGGCCAAAGGCAAGAGAAAGCTGAAAAAATGTGTTGGTGATAATTTAGCATTAATGCACTTGCTAATTTGCTCCTATTCGGACAGTATAACTGAAATTTAGATACACTGTGCCATGGGCTTCCTAGTTAAATAAATCTGTCTCGTACAAAATGAGGAAATATCTAGAAGGTCTGATTTGATCTAAAAAAAGTTCAGGGTTTTTTTTTGGGGGGTGTTCAGCGTTGGCTTTTTTTTTTTTTTAATATATCTTTATTGTAGTATAATTGCTTCACAATACTGTGTTAGTTTTTCTTGTACACCAAAGTGAATCAGCCATACGCATACATATGTCCCCTTATCCCCTCCCTCTTGAGCCTCCCTCCCACCCTCCCTATCCCACCCCTCAAGGTCATCGCAAAGTGCGGAGCTGACCTCCCTGTGCTACGCTGCTGCTTCCCACTAGCTATCTATTTTACATTCGGAGGACGCGGGGTGGGAGGGGGAAGCTGGGGCAAAGTGAGAGTAGCATCGACATATATACATTACTGAAAGTTCAGGTTTTTCATTAAGTTATCCAGAACTCAAGACTGTCAACCAGGTGCTTGTACAAATGCTTAGGACTTCAGTTCTCAAACTGTGTACCAAGGAGCCCTGGGGTGTCACAACAAACTCGCAGGGGTGGAGTGGGATCTTTTAAATTTTTGAGGAAAAGCACAGTTGATACTCAGCATCTGTTGGACACTGTGAATTACTAACTCAAGGCTGTTCATGGTGTTAATGTAGATTGTGCTACCCTCCTTTTGCTGACATCATGTTTCTGCAAAGCGGGATTTTTGGAGGTTACTGTGATAAAAAAGACAGCTGCCAGGTGAGCATCTCTTTGGACCAGGACATGTAGTTATTTAAGAACGAAATAAAAATATTTTTTTCTTTCAATTTATGTGAACTATTTTTTCAAATGGCTATGAAGTTCTTAAGACATTAGTTTTTACTTATGTTATGTGGACCTAATTATTTAATAAACAGAACTGTTACGCGTTTCTTTTGGCTTAGAAGCACCAGGAAAAATTTACCAAGCCACTAGGGGCATGGTGAACAGAGGAAATTTGGGGAAGTCTGGCTTAGGCAGATAGAAAACTCCTTGAGATAATGTTTTGCGTCTGTTTGCAAAAACTCCTAGGGGCACAGGTATTTCCAAAGAGCATGAGGAGAAAACATCTGGCTCCAGTATTTTCATATTCACTCTGACAACCTGCCTGTCTCCTTTCTGGGGCACATGGGTCTGGCTTTAACCAATAATGCAGAAGGCTGCAATCTCCCCAGGGGTTTATTAGTCATTAACTGTGGGCTCATATTTGCTGAGGCTCTTTTAGGATGCCTTGTGAGTAAATACTAACTGAATGGAAGAGACTACCACACAGTTATATTGTATACTTTTCCTGGATTCTTTTCTTTTCTTTCTTTCTTTTTTTTTTTTTTTTTGTGATACGCGGGCCTCTCACTGTTGTGGCCTCTCCCATTGCGGAGCACAGGTTCCGGACGCGCAGGCTCAGCGGCCATGGCTCACGGGCCCAGCCGCTCCGCGGCATGTGGGATCTTCCCGGACCGGGGCACGAACCCGTGTCCCCTGCATCGGCAGGCGGACTCCCAACCACTGCGCCACCAGGGAAGCCCCTGGATTATTTCTTTTGAGATAGATCTGACAAATGCTAATAATTTTTGCATGTTTTAAAAAAAGAATTTTTAAAGCCTTTTAAAAATAACAGTAACACATACTTATTCTATTGGTTCTGTAAACTCTATCTCCTTATTACATATGATTAAAAAGCAATATCTATGGACTGTATTACCTTAGTGCCTGTGATGTTAATTTTATGTGCCAACTTGGTTAGGCTATAGTCTATTCAACCAAACAGTAATCTAGGTTTCTCAGTGAAGAGAGACAGTCCTAGATGATCTGGGTGGGACTGGTTCAATTAGTTGAAAGGTTTTTAAGAGCAGACCTGAAGCTTCCTCAAGAAGAGAGTTCACCTGTGGACAACAGAGTTCCAGCCTGCCCTTCCTGGCAGCCTGCCCTGTGGATATGGGACTTGCCTAGGTAGCCCCATAATCCCCATAATCACATAAGCCAATTCCTTGCAATCAATATCTCTCTACAGATACAGATATATTAGACATAGAGATATTTATATATAAATATATACTAGATATCTACTATAGCTATATCTATAGATATCTCTTTATATAGCTATAGATCTATGGGGACAGCTGAGCATGCCTAGATAATCTAGATTTACATTTATCTCCTACTGGTTCTGTCTCTCTGGTGAAACCTTGGTTGACACAGCTAAGCTCCTACACAAGTTTTACTAGGTCAGTTATTCTTTTGCAAAGACAGCTTTTGAATTGTCTATGTTATTTGAAAAATTGTAATTTAAATCTTCCCCCCTCCTCCCCCCCTTTCTTTGGCTGTGCTGTGTGGCTTCTGGGATCTTATTTCCCCAACCAGGGATCGAACCCGGGCCCCTGGCAATTAATAGCACGGAGTCCTAACAAGTGGACCGAGAAGGAATTCTCTCCCCCTGTTTGTTTTTAATCCCGAGTACCTACAGGACAATGCGTCTTAGAAGTCAACACGAGGAACAAGTTAATCACTCCCAACAGTGTGATGGCTTCCCTTTAACTGACAGTGAACCTGGTGATCCAATACATTTTTCTCTTTGGAGCAGCTGCCTGTCTGCTTGGTGCCAAACTTCTCACTTAACTGTAGTAATTAGCTCATCCTAAATGCCTAAGATGAAGTATACAATTTTAAGACAACTATTCAATAAAGGATAAGTTCAACAAGACACTTTTTTTTCTAATAAGTAATAGCCAAACTATTCTTACCATTCAAGTCATATTTTTGCCTTGCGGTTAATATGTGTTGAGTATTTATTTCGGGTGAATAAAATCTTGGACTTGGACAACATATAAAAGAATAGCATATTGTAATTCATAGAATCATACAGTGATATTTATATTTTAAAAACTCAGATACAATTTAGTGTTTAAAAGTAAAGCCTTTGAAGTCGGAGAGACCTGGACTCAGAGGCCCTTCTCTACCATTTATTATCTGTGTGACCCTAACATCTCTTTGCTTTAGTTTTCTGCATCTGTAAAGAAGAAATAATAAGGTAATTAATATTTAACCCAGTTTCTGGCACCTAGTAAATAGGAGAAATGGTTTTCTCATGGAGTTACAATGTTTTATGAGCAAAAAAATTCTATAGAAAAGTAAGGTGATAGTAAAGCACCTTGTTAATTAAAGCAATTCTCAATATACTAATAATTGCTGTTGTTCTGTGAAGGCCTGAGTGAAACTGAGGACCTCGTCGGAAGCGCCAAGCTTGTCAGCTCCCCATAACTGCAGCAGAGAAAGGGATACTGACCCCTCGTTCCTCGTGTACACGCAGAGGTGCCGTCACTGTCACTCCCCTTAGGAAATCCCACACTACCATGCAGCTAAATGAACTGCCCGTCACGTTTATCATTCAGTATCATGTCAGTAGACAAGTCATTTGATTGATGTTTGAGTTTGATTTCCCATACGCCCATAATGGAGACATTCAAAAGGATATGTATGTATATTTTCTCTTCGGAAGCATAAAAAGGGATGAAATAAACAGTCTCCAACGCATTCAGAACACGCATTGTTGGTTGTTATCAGTAAAGGTGAGAGCCCGTCGGCACCTACAAGAGATAAGCCTCAAGATAAGGGTCTGACCCTCAAAGGTGAATGATCTCTATGTGAAAGCCCAAAGTTCTTTGTGCT